CGTGCGGGTGTACTATACGTGATATGCCAACCAAGACAAAGCGGATCTTAAGGGTTGGGCTATTGTGCACCAGGTGTCTCCACACGGTAAACTACCTGCCCCAAACGATGACGATTACAACTTCAATGCAAACACATATGATGGACAGTTCTATCAAGAAGATGGGCTACCAGGCACGTTTGAGATAGTCTTACCCAAAGCGATTGAAATGGAAGTAGACAACGAAACGGAGGATGACGAGGTTGATGGAGATGTGGTGCAAAATGCCAAGGACATAGAAATGCTTGACCGATTAAGGCTAGTCAATGACGACGAAGACAACATAGAACCTTCAGATAGTGTTGCCCATTTGGACAATTTTGACAGTGATGACGACACCTATGATCCTAATCATGAAGATTATTCCTAATACATGTAATACTATGTTTGTTTTAGTTAGTGTTTTCTTTATTTATTTTGAATCTATTTCTAATATATATACTAATAAGTCTTGTTCATTCTTTGTGATTGCAGGTGATGGCGAGCAGCCATCCACGATGTGAGACGGCCTCCCTTTATGGGAGACCATGCCCTCCCATTTCAGACGAGGGGTTGGGGTTAGGGGTAGCGTCCACAGGAGGTCAGAGGAGGACCAAGGTCAGGAGGAGGAAGCGGACTCCTTCCCCGCCACCTTCAGACGAGGTGATGGAGGAGGAGCACGTGACGGCCACGCCCGAGGATGGGGTCGAGGACGAGGACGTCCGACAGACCGAGGACGAGGCGGCCGAGGACGAGGCCGCCGAGGGCGACAGTTCTGCTACCCCGACTGTCTAACAGTGAGGTCCCGCGAGCCTCCCTCAGCCTCCGCTTCCTCGCAACCGGGCACTGATTCGCCCTATGGCAAAGAGGTAAGTAACTATAGATGTTATCACAACTACTTCATATGATAATGTTGGAAATCAAAAGAGGAACTGATAAATTTTCTTAATCACTTGTGCAGGGCCTGGTTGGTTTTGTCGGGTACTTCTGCACGCTCCCCCGCGAGCATCCTTGGTGTTTTGTGCAGGAAATGGTACCCCAGCCTTGTGAACGTGTCCGAGGACATGCGGGAGCCGGCCTACACGTGTGATAGGTACCAGTTGGCCCCTGACGACAGGTACCACAACAAGCATGAGCGGGTACTGGCGGAGTTTTGGGTAAGTCTCTCTCGCACAACATTTTCATTGGGCAAGTCTTTTATTGAAATAATGAATGGATACATCGGTTTTGTATGCTGAGGTATTTCAAGCCGGAAGAAGGACTTGAGGCCCGAGCGGATTAGGCGGCTGCCGCCGCTTGTAGGAAGTACGTCACCGACATGCACCACGAGGCACGCGTGCAGGCCCACAGAGACTACTACGCCATGGTGTTGAAGCAGTCCATCAGCAAGCCTGATGGAAGACAGGTGGAGCTGTCCCGGGCCCAGTACCTTGAGGTAGACGAAAAACATTAATAATGATTCATTTTGAGATTAAGTCGGTTTAATTTTATCTTTTTCTATGTCAAATAATCGATGACTTGTAGGTGATTCCCTGGTGGTGCCAATCCCACTCCGTGTGCTGGGAGATGATCGTGGACAGGTGGTTGTCCAATGACTTTGCTGAGAACCACGCGAGGCAGCGGGACCAGCGTCTGCTGAGGCGAGGTGCTACTCACCATCAAGGCAGCCGCAGCCTCCCCGCCTACAAATAAGCATATGTAAGTGATTTCTTTTATCTTATTTGACGCTGAGTTCTGCCTTATTTCTCACTATCTTGCCATCTTACTCGTAGGAGGCTGCACACCCGGGCGTGGAGGTCTCAGAGTTCTCTGCGTGGGCTATGTCCCACATGGGTAGGGCATCTTCCTCTATCTCCTTCGACCCATCTGCCCCGCGCGAGGTGTACTCCGACCCGACCTTGCACACTAAGGTTCAAGAGTACACCTCAAAGGTGAGGGAGGTCCATGGGGAAGATTACGATGTGTGCACTGAGCCCATTGATGTAGAGACCATCATGAGGCTAGGAGGAGGCAAGAAGCATGGGCGGCTGTGGATTGCAGACGGCGCCATCGACTCCACCACTGTTCCCTCTCTCGACGTGCTCCGAGCACGGAGCACGAGCTCCAGCCAGCCCATACGCGCACGGCCTACTCTGTCACTGCAGCGAGTCGACGCTCACGAGGTACGTCCTGTTTTACTCGTCGTATGTTCTTCTTTGCACACCTAAGTTACATTTGCATTACTGAAATATTGAAGTTTGTATTGCAGGCCGAGCTGCAGGCTCAAAAGCTCGTGGTCGAGGCTCAGAGCGCGCAGCTGCAGGCCCAGAGGGAAGCGTTCGCGGCCCAGGAGAGGAGGATGCAAGAAATGGAGGCCTTCATGCGGAGTGTCCAGCAAGGGGGTGTACCTTTGCCATTGGCAGCTCCTCCACCGCCTACTTCTACAGCCACTCCTGTAAGTATGAAAGTTCACTCTTACTAGATGCTTCCTTGACATACAACCATGCTTGACATAGAAACTTACTAGATGCTTGACATAGAAACTTACTACATGCTTGCACTAGCTATGACATACAACCATGCTTGACATTCTCAATTTACTAGATGCTTGACATAGAAACTTACTAGATGCTTGCACTAGCTATGACATACACCAATGCTTCACATAGAAACTTACTAGATGAATCTCACACATGCAACGTCTTATCCTTTTTGCAGCTTCCGTCGGCGGGTTCGAATAACCCTGCTCATGTGTCACCGAATGATGGAGCCTTTGCTTCACCATCGTGTCATAGGCCGCTTTTTTGAGGAGTTGTGCTTCGTCATGTGCTTGGACTTGAGCTTCACTTGTGGTTGTGACTTGTGCTTGGACTTGATGGACTGTGGTTGTGAATTTGTGACTTGTGGTTGTGATATTTGACTTGTGGTTGCGATATGTTGTTATTTGAGTTGTGGTTGTGATATAATGTGTGAAAATGGTTTCGTTGTGATATATATGTGATTATTGTGATGTTTGTGATATATATGTGACATGTGATATATATTTGAACTGTTTGTGTCGATGGAATGCAAAAACAAAAAAATTGCAATTTGGTTGATTTGCCGAGTGCAATGGTCATGGCACTTTCGGCAAAAGTTGGAAAACTTGCCGAGTGCCGTGACATTGCACTCGGCAAAGATTTTTTTTAAAGCAAAAATCTTTGCCGAGTGCCAAGCTAGGAGGCACTCGGCAAAGAGCTTTTTAAAAAAATTAAAAAATGGTTTTGCCGAGTGCGCGCTGCCGTGGCACTCAGCAAAGAGTTTTTGAAAAATAAAATAAAAAATGTATTTGCCTGAGTGCCCTAACTGTCGGCACTCGGCAAAGGCGCCGTCAACGGAGCAGCGCCGTTGATGGCTGCTTTTCTTTGTTGAGTGTCGCCGTTGGCACTCGGAAAAGGCTTTGCCGAGTGCCCGACAAATGGCCCTCGGCAAAGAGCCTCTTTGCCGTTAAATTTTTTTCCGAGGGCTCTTTGCCGAGGGCGGCGCTCGGCAAAGCCTTTGCCGAGTGGCCCTCGGCAAAGAGGGAGCCTCCAGTAGTGATATAATCGTATTTTGAACAAAGACAAGTCAAACAAAATAATGGATTTGACCCTTAATTTTCCTTACAATATATTTGCTAAAAGGGGAACGACGGCATCTTAGAGATACTTTGGTCTTTGGATACAAATTTATTGATGCAAGATCTTATGTCCTATAACTCCTAACCTTGTTTATATAAATATATATTATGACTAACTGTTGGTAAAAATTATAAAAAAATAACTTTCGGAGGATGCTCGGGATTGGGCGGTCGTGCAGCTGGGCAGGAGAGGTGTTGGCTGGCTAGTGGTCTACTGGGCCAAATTTCTGTTGGGCTATAGAGTACTTAAAAAGTTCTTGGGCCAGATTTCAGGGTAATCTCGCGCCTACCGGACTACTCGCTGGTCCCGCCACCGCTCCCGTCCACCGCGCCCTGAGAGACCTATTGCTCCGCCACGGCCCACGGCCCACGGCCCTCTGATGTTCCTCAAGCTCAGCGAGGTCCCAGTGGTCATTTCATCCGCGCAAGATGCCGCAAAAGAGTTCATGAAGACCCGCGACGCCATCTTTGCGACAAGGCCAATGACCCTGAGTGCCAAGGTCTTCACCAGGGACAGCCCGGAGATCGTAGTGGCTCCGTATGGTGACCACTTATAGCATTGAAACAATCGTGTTTCCCTAAAATGCCATTGAAAGATCTCGGACACGTGAAATACCATCGAAAGAATCTTCGTTACCGGAAAGTACCATTCTGTAACCATTTGGAGCAAACACCATGAATCCACCATTTAGCTCCTCGCCTTCTCCTTCTCATCCCATGTTCTAAGCAGTGAGCACTAGTAACAAGCCCCTCTCCTTCCTGAGCTCCGGCCTAGGCGTACCAGAGTCCGGGTGCGCAGCCTGGGCGAGCGTGCAGTGTGCCACCCGGTCGAGCGTCCTCCTTGCTGTGCTCTGAGCCCGCGCGCCCGCGAGGCCACGACTGCTACGCTCGCTGCCCCGCACGAGCTGTCTGCCCTCGAGCGCATCGCGCCCGCATGAGCCGTGCATGGCGCCATGGCATTCGCACGGTGCAAATCGCACCTGCCCATATGTGTGTGGCATGTTCAGTACAGCACTAGACCATGATATATATCACATGCTGGTTTGATGACAACCGGCCTTCATGCATGCGACTTAAGAAAGAAGAGGGAGAAACAAAACAAAATGATCTCAACCCAACCTGGGTTAACGTAGAGGGAGAGGAGCCATGATGCCGGTGTCAAAGTGCTCGGTGATGACGACGGCGAAGCTTCCCGTGTGTGGCCACTGGCCTGTGGTGACGAGTGACGACGACGCGATAGGTAGGTCCCCACGCGAGGACGACGCTGGTTGGTGCTGGCGCTGAGGTGCGCGGCTATACCGATGCCGAAGTCTTGCACCAGTTGGTGCTGGAGGCCTGGAGCCCGATGGCAAATGCCGAGACGCTGCAGCACTTCGACGGCGTCGAGGTGAAGTTGATGTTCTTCAAGCAACAGGTGGAAGTGGAACGCGACGACGTCGCCGTGGTGTGCCAGGGTGTGCAGCCGCGGCCCGACATCGCCGTGCACCGCTTACGTCTTGAACTTGATGCCCTACCTCGCCGCGATGTGTGCCCGTTCGTCCGCCCGCCAGGCCACCCAGCTGAGGACCCGTCTCACTGTTTTCTGCGCCCGCGCACCCGTGCTCACAACCGCGACCCGCCGCCCTCGCTACCGTACGCGAGCTGCTCACCCTCGTACGGGCTGGAGCTATCGGCTACGAGGTGGAGCAGGAGCCGCGCCGCATGAGCTGTTCGGCACCCATCCGTGTAGTGCCGGCCTTGCCTTGGCCGTGCGAGCCGCTCGTCACCCGTGACCCGTCTGCCCGCGCGCATCATCTGGCCCCTCAGCGCGCATGGACTCCATCTAAGCCGAAGCTGACGCAGAAAGGATTGTCCACTGGTTCTCATCGGATGGGAAGAAGGGGAGATGAGCAGATGGGAAGAAGAAGGCGAGGACAGTGGATTCACGGTGTTATCTCTGAATCATGACAGAATGCTAGTTTTCGGTGACGGAAGACTCTTTTGGTGGTATTTCACGTGTTCCAGATCTTTCAATGGTATTTTCCGAAAACACGATTCTTTCAATGCTATAGAACCAATTTTCCCTTTCTTAAATTGTACCGATCCTCCTCTGCGCCGTTTAGACGTCTGATGCCTTTCATCTTTGTATGGCCTTCGATAAAGTAAGGCTGCCTCTCGAAATTCAGGTTTTCTCTTTCCCTTGATTTTATTCTTTATCGTCTCCCTTCCTCCCTCTTTTCATGTATCCCAGCTTCATTTAGCATGTGTTCCTGCATATCTCTTTCCCCTTTGAACGTAAATGGGGAATTCATCTGGCCGGCTTGTCTATCGGACCAATCTTCTCTGATTTTGTTCTCGGGACCTGATAATTCAACAATTTTTCTTGTCGGCTCCTGAACAGTCCTAAATTGATCATGTCTTTGTTGGTCTAGAAGACCCTTAGGCTGCTTGACAGTGATCTTCTTGCAAGGAATATTCTTCCCAAATTCAGCAGGTGGCCGAAATACAACATATGCTTTTAGAATGTCAGGAGCATAATCATCAAATTTCATCTTATTAGATTTCAATATCTTGTCGGCCTTTCCAGTAGGTCTGAAGTCTGTGACATCCACAATGCCTTCAACAGAAACAAGTGAACCAGATGGTGACATGTTCCACTCCAAGGACCTTTGAGGTGCCCCACATTTGAACGTTACTGGGACAGATTTTGTCTTTTCAATACATTCAGGTCCTTTGGTTTCAGTATCTTCAAATGAGACTGTAGTTATCAACTTCTTGCTCAGTATCTGGCTTGCTTGATCCAAAGGATTAAACTCAACTGAATTTGTATCCATTTCTGTATTTTCTTCATCCTCCCCATACTTAGAGCAGTTGGTCTGCATATGCCCAAGCTATAAAACAAAAGAAATGGCAAAGATATAGTCGACTCATAAGATGAAACAATTCACTTTAATGTACCTACCTGACCACAAGCACCATAGGTAAAATTATTATTCATTCCGCACTGTCTCTTTTCCTGAAAAGAAGAAAAGGCGCGAGTCACAATAGCAAGATAAGATCAGCTTCGACATGAATGAATCATAGAACTCTCAACACAGCTCAAAAGTTTCAAATTTTAGTGGCACAAATATCTGCACTAAAACTTAGGTGTGATGCCAAGCCAAGAATTAGCATAAAAGCATGACCTTAAATTACCAAATATAAACAGTACCCTCACCACTCAACTCACTCTTTATGTTTACTTTTTATGCAGCCTGATGGGTATGGACTACGGACACCACCACCAGTACAACATATAATGATCGCTTCACATTGAGTATCTACAACCAATACAACATAATTACATGTACCATATGTGGGAGTGAAGCAAAACTTGTTGCATCCAGCAATCATGTCATGGACCAGCATGAACGCATGTGAACAGTATCCGCAGGGGTACTGTATCCCTGGTACTTGGTACTGTAGCAGGGAGTCCATCTAGGTCTAGGTTTAGGAAGAGTCTAGAAAATAGAATTGCTTGTATTGTAAGACAAGTGAGGTTGGGTCCTCCCTATAAATATGAGGGAAGATGTAACTATTATGATTAAGCAAAAATAATCTAGGGACAAGACCCTAAAGCTCTCTAGCCTCCCCATGCTCGAGCCGTCGGAAGACGTGCTGCCCTGCTGCCAGCCCCTTTCTCTCTCTTAAGGTGTGGCTAGCCCTAGGGCAGCTGTTCTCCTCCTCTAATCCCCCCCCCCACCCCCAACCCACCCCCACATATTCCCCAATCCTACCCTCGAATCCCTCTTCCCGGATGCAAACCATTACATCATCGCTTTCAGGTCTAAGGGCGACCTACCTTCAGCAAAAGAATTCCCAGCCAGCATACAGCAACGTAGCATGCTAGTTACTAGAGCTTGTTTCTTCTAGTACATCAAAAAATCATATTAATAGAAAAACTGGACCTAGGCCTCAAACATTAGATGTAGAGTAATAATACCTCTTTCACCTCTGTTGGAGTGCTCCCCTTTGAGGTCAATGTAGCAGTATGACCTGACATTCTAACCATTTTCCCAGTCTCACCACTACTAGATTCAGGTTCTTTGCCGAGTGCCTGAGGCACTCGGCAAAGGCCAAATTGCACTCAGCAAAGCCTTTGCCGAGTGCGGCACTCGACAAAGAACACACGGCAAAAAATTGATCAGCAAAGTGCTCTTTGCCGAGTGTCTTTTATCGGGCACTCGGCAAAGACTTTGCCGAGTGCCTGTCGAGTGTCTTTTATCGGGCGCTCGGCAAAGAAAAGCGACCGTAACGGCGCCGACCCCGTTGACGGTGGCTTTGCCGAGTGCCAACCCTGCAGGCACTCAGCAAAGATTTTTTTAATTTTTTTTAAAAAATTTCTTTGCCGAGTGCCCCCTGGCCGGCACTCGGCAAAGTTTGAATTTTTTAAAAAAATCTTTGCCGAGTGCCCTCTGGCCGGCACTCGGCAAAGTTTGATTTTTTTTAAATTCTTTGCCGAGTGCCCCTTGGCCAGCACTCGGCAAAGTTTTAATTTTTTTTTAAAAAATCTTTGCCGAGTGCCCCTGGCCGGCACTCGGCAAAATTTGATTTTTTTTAAATTCTTTGTCGAGTGCCCTTTGGCCGGCACTCGGCAAATTTGGATTTTTTTAATTCTTTGTTGAGTGTCCTCTTGTCGTCACTTGACAAAGTTTGAATTTTTTTTTAAAAAAAATTCTTTGCCGAGTGTCATGGTCATGGCACTCGGCAAAGCTGGAAAAATTCCAGCTTTGCCGAGTGCGGTGACCATGGCACTCGGCAAAGGGGTCCTTTGTCGAGTGCAACACTCAGCAAAGTGACCCAAAACGACCATTTTTTTTTTTTTTTTACATTCCATCATGACAAATAAATTCATACAATCATATATCTCATCCATTCACACCTCCATCGGCACATATCACATCCATCACAATATATATCACATATATAATAATAAGTGCTCAAGTCCATCCAAATAAATCCAGAAGTCTATCAAAGTCCACAAGTGCATCACAAGTATATCACAAGTCCATCACCAAGTGAACAACAAATGAAAAAATACAACGTGCACTCATCTCGGCCACTGCGACTGTGGTGAAGGCCCAGTTCCATCATTCGGAGGTGCATGAGGTGGATTATTTGAACCACCGTCAGATGGAGACTACACAAAGGAGAAAAGATTGCATGTGAGACAAGATTATTTGGATATCTAATCTAGGAAGGTAGAGGCCATACAAGCAAAGCACAAGCGAAAGTAAAAAACTTTCATACTCACAGGAGTAGATAGAGCTGTAGGACGCAGAGGCAGAGGTGGAACCAACAGCCCAGCTGGTAGAGAGAAGCCCACACGTTGCCCAAGCCCTTGTAGGAACTCCGTAATGTCCGTCAGCCTCTGCGCTTGGGCCTGCCGCTCGGCCCACTGGGCCTCCAGCTAGGCCGCCATCCTCTGGTGCCCGGCCTCCAGCTCCTGACATTGCCTCACTTCTTGTTCCAGTCGGGCCTGCAATATTTCACTCCAATGTTTCAGTAACGCAAAGCTAATTAAGGTGTGTAAAGATCAATATATGACGAGTAAAACAGGAATAACCTCGAGTGCGTCGACTCGGTGCTGTGTAGCGGTCGGCCGTGTGCGAATGGCCGGGCTCTCGCTCATGCTCCCTACTCGGATTTGGGAGAGAGAGGGAGTAGAGGCCGTGTCGATGACGCCATCGCCAAGCCAGAACCGCCCATGCTTCTTGCCTTGCCCCACCCTCAAGACAGCCTCTCCATCGAACACCATGCCTAGAAGTCCGAGCAAGCCTGGCCACTATGTGATGCCGACTGCGAGAAAGACAGCATGATGATTAGAAATTAGACAGAACTGAGCGTCACAATAGATAAATGAATTCTCGTACCCATGCTTGTTTGTATCCGGTGAGGCTGTAGCTGCCTTGATGGTGTGCTGGACCTTGCATCTGCAAACGACGGTCCTGGGCATCCCTGTGCATCTTGATGTACTCCTCCGTGAACAACCTCTCCACCCCCATTGCCCAGGACACGGGATACGCTTGGCACCACTAGGGAATCATCTACACGTCATCAAGTATTGGACATATAAGAAGATCAAATTAAACCAACTTAATCTCAAAACAAATCAATATTGATGTTCTTCATTTACCTCAAGGTACTACTCTCGGGTCAGCTGCATCTCTCTTGCATCGTTCTTGGTTTTCCTCTCTCCAAGCTTCGACCCGTAGTAGGTTACGATGGCCTGGATGCACGCCTCATGATGCATGTTGGAGACGAGTTTTTTACAGGCTTTGGTAGTCACCTGCTCCACCCTGGCCTCAAATCCCTCCTCGCATCTGTAATAAGTCTGTATACAAAAGCGATGTATCCATTCATTATTTCAAGAAAAGTCCAATGAATGCGACGTATTGAGCAATGTTCTGCGAGGGAGACTTACCCAAAGCTCTTCCTTCACCCGCGCCGCCTTGTTGGGGTACTCCGCATCGGTGGCAACGGCATAGTGGTCAAACGATTAGGCCGGCTCTGTCTTCGATGCGTATGTGACAATGCCGGGGAAGTGTTGCCTGCACAGAAGACCCAAGATGCCGTTGACTAGCCGTGCGTTACCACCCGACACAACCACCCAGTTCCTACACAAGTGATTAAGAAAAATTATTAGTTTTTTTTCATCATATCATATGAAGTAGTGCTGATAACATA